AATTAGATAGATAGATAGATAGATAGATAGATAGATAGATAGATAGATAGATAGATAGATAGATAGATAGATAGATAGAAAGATAGAAAGATAGAAAGATAGAAAGATAGAAAGATAGAAAGATAAAATAGACAGGCAGGTGGATAGATGACAGATGGATGGATGGATGGATGGAGAGAGAGAGAGAGAGAGACAGGCAGGCAGGCAGGCAGGCAGGCAGGTGGATAGATGACAGATAGATAGATAGATGAGATAGATAGATGATAGATAGATAGATAATAGATAGATAATAGATAGATAGATGATAGATAAATAGATAGATAGATAGATAGATAGATAGATAGACTGACTTAGATACCGCTTCACAGTGACAGCCCTCTCTAAGCGGTTTACAGACTCAGCCTCTTCCCCACCACCACCACCACCACCCCTGCAACAGTCTAGGTCCTCATTTTACCAACCTCAGTAGGACGGAAGGCTGAGCCCCCCCCTTGAGCCGGTCAGGATCGAACCGCTGTCAGTGGGGCAGAGTCAGCCTGCAGTACTGCCCCGTGGCATCACCAGGGCTCTGAAGAGGGCTGCCTCTCTCTCTCTGCTCTGCCTTAGCAGACTTACGACGAGGAGGAGGAAGAGGATGATGAGGATGACGAGGACAGCGAGGAGGACTCCGAAGACGATGAGGACATGCAGGACATGGACGAGATGAACGACTACAACGAGTCCCCGGACGACGGGGAGATTAACGAGGTTTGGCCGGATAAACTGCCCCAGCATGTTATTTATTTATTTATCTGTTTTATCTATTATTCGTATCCCCCCTTTCTTATTTTTACCAATGAGGCAGTGAACATCTCCCAACACACCTTCGTCCTCCTATCTCCCACACAAAACAATCACCCTGCGGGGTGGGGGGGGGGGGGGGAGGGAGCGAGACTGGCTCAACGTCACCCAGATGGCTCTCATGCCCAGGGCGGGACTAGAACTCACCGTCTCCCGGTGGTCGGCCCCTTCCTGAGGTTACGAATGCAGGGAGGGCCCGGGAAGTAGACTCAGGCAGGGCCCTGTGCTTAGCTTTGCTCTCTTCTAGGGGCAGATCTGGGGGTCTACAGCAGGGGGTCTCCACACCTGGCCCCTTTAAGCCTTGTGGACTACAACTCCCAGCAAGGCTGACTGGGGAATTCTGGGAGTTGAAGTCCACGAGCGTCAAAGGGGCCGAGGTTTGGAGAGCCCAGATCCACAGGGTTGCCTCGCGGCTGTAATTCCCTTCTGATAAGGGTCCCCCCACTTTCTCCCTCTCCCCCCAGGTGGACATGGAAGGGGCAGAGCCAGACCAAGACCAGTGGATGATCTAGTTGCCGGACAAGCCACCGCCGCTGGGAATCGCCATCCAGGTGCACCAAATGGGCTCCTGAGCTTGGCTGCCCCCCCCCCTCAGACCCCCAGGGGTGTCCTGCGCCCACCGTGACTCTCTGCCAGGGAGGGGGGGGTCTGAATGCCAACTGCCCCGTGAGCTGACCTCCTGCGTTGCTCTGCTGACCCACTGACCAGAGCAAAAGCCTTAAGGGTTGTGTCCGTCTCTCCGCCTGCTCTCTTTCGGCCAGTTGGGGGGTTGAAGCTCTTTTGTAAATAAAAGGTTTCTTTTTTCACTCGGCCTCCGTTCCATCTCCCTTCAATCTGTGGCAGGCAGCCTCCTTCGAGCGATAGGTGATAGCAATAGCAATAGCAGACTTATATAGCGCTTCATAGGGCTTTCAGCCCTCTCTAAGCAGTTTACAAAGTCAGCATATCGCCCCCACAGTCTGGNCAGAAGGATGGAAGGCTGAATCAACCCTGAGCCGGTGAGATTTGAACAGCCGAACTGCTGAACTGCAGTCAGCTGAAGTAGCCTGCAGTGCTGCACTGTAACCACTGCGCCACCTCGGCTCTATATTGGAGTATTGCCCCCAACAACCTGGGTCCTCGTTTTACTGATCTCGGAAGGATGGAAAGCTGAGTCAGCCTTAGTTTAAGGCCAGATTCGAACTACTGGCAGTCGGCAGAATTAGCCTGCAAGACTGCATTCTAATCACTGTGCCGTTCACAGCTCAATAATAATTTAGATGATATTATCTGAATATGTTTCAAGTTCTCAAGAGGCAGAGATTTTTTTAGTTTAATTTTTCTCCAAAACATGGAGTTGTAACCTTCACACTAAGTAAACAAATGTATAGGGAACTCAGTGAATGCTGTTAAAATATTGCAATGCGCAATATTTTCAATGTGCAATTCTTTTCACCACCTGCTGCTAACGTGCCTACCTCTTCCCTTATCCTAACGCAAAGAAATGTGACCAAACCGTTTTCTCCTGCCTCCTCTTCTTCTTCTCCTAGCTGGGTAATGTCTTTCCATTCCGGGCGTGGGTGCCCCCGAGGCCGAGGAGGAGCTACTGTCCGGTCTTCGTCACAAACCTTTCGCCCCCAAAACTTGAGGCAGCTACATCCTCAGCAGTCTTCGATGCAGTATCAGTATGATCAGCAACCTCCAACCACCTCCATCTATGCGAACCCCCCAACTCCAAACTACGCCCCTCCTAGGCCAGATTTTGTCCCGTATCCCCCACCAATCCCCCCTTCGCCTCAGGGTTCGATCACCCAATGTCCCCCCCGGCCTCCTTTTTCGGGCCCTCAAATGAGGCAGACCTTCCCACTCCCTCCTTGTTTCCCCCCAGCTCCTCCCCCTGTCCCAAATCCTAGTAACCCCCCCGTTCTGGCCAATGCAGCTGGACAAAACACCTTCCCGTACATGATGCCCCCTCCGTCCATACCGCATCCGTTGCCTCCACCGGTGATGCCTCAACAGGTAAATTACCAGCCCGCATATTCTCCAGGGTTCTCCCAGCAGACTTTCTCCCCTCCTAACTTTAGTAACTACCAGCACAGTGCAAACTCTTACCAGAGCAACAGTGGTAGCGCTAGTAGTGGTGGCAGCACCAGCGGTAACTTCCGGCATCCAAGTGAATACCTGGTAGAAAAATCTCAGACCGACCGGAGGTCTCCAGAGCGGAGCAAATATTACGACGAGCATCGCCATCGGGATCACTGCCACGGACACGGGGATCGGCATCGTTCCACTAATCATGGGGACCGGCGGGATCGTGGGAGGAGCCCAGATCGCCGGCGTGCAGAAAGTAGTCGTCACAAATCGGATTATGTCAGAGGAAGAACCCCGCCCCGCCATCGGAGTTACGAATGGTACAGGTAATCTGGATTAGCTGTTCTTCTCAGCTAATCTGACTTTGCTTTTTATTAGGACTCACGTGGTAGTTCTACTAGTTGTGTGAAACCACAGGTAGCCTTCGACTTACAACAATTCATTTAGGGACTGTTCAAAGTTACGATACAGACTTATGACCATTTTTCACACTTACGACTCTTGCAGGACCCTTCCATGGACATGTGATCAAAATTCAGACTCTTGGCAAGTGACTCATATTTATGACGGTTGCAGTGTTCTGAGGGTCATGTGATCACCTGCCAAGCAGAGTCGGTGGGGAAGCCAGATTCACTTAACAACCAATTTACTAGCTTAAGAACTGCAGTGATTCACTTAGCAACCGTGACAAGGAAGGAAGGTTGTAAAATGGGGCAAAATTCACTTAACAAATGTCATGCTTAGCAACATAAATTTAGAGCTCAACTGTGGTTGTAAGACGAGGACTACCTGCGGTTCAGTCTTTGTAGTTTACAGAATAATGACTTTCTAATTGGTGCCTTTTTTGAACCCCACGGATATCTGGGTACATATAAGTTTGCATTTGTTGGTGGGTTAGGGGTGCGAGGGTCTTGTAACTTGACAGCTTTAAGACTTGCGTGCTTCAAATGCCAGAGTTTCTGAGCCAACATTTTGGTTGCTAAGCA